ATCCACGAGGTCGCCAGCAGCGACATTCAGCCATAAACGATTTTGTGTGCCGAACTTTTCTCCAAGGCCTCAATTCCGGTTTTAAAGGAACCGTCGGGCATTGCGGCGCACGACGGTAAGCGCCCTGACGGGTGTACCTTGATCCCTTGGAGAGCCGGCAGGTGCTTGGCGTGGGACGTTACCGTTCCGGGCACCTTTGCTGAGCGCTACGTGCAGCTTACTAGCAAAGAAAGCGGTTTGGCTGCAACCAGGGCATCTGACGAGAAGATCAAAAAGTACGACGGAGCTCTCCCCTCGATGGAGTTTTTACCGATTTGTATCGAGGTCCTCGGCCCCATGGACCGTAACACCTCCGGGTTTTTCAATCGAATTTGTAAAAATATCAGTATTAGGTCAGGCGATAGTAGGGAATATTTTTTCGCTATGAATAATATCTCGTGCATTCTGCAGCGGTTTTTGCGCGTCTGTGTGTTGGAAAATGTGGAGTTGAATGCCGACGGGGTTGAGTGACGTTATAGCAAATAAAATCAAATTTAGTCAGACGCTTGGCTTTTGGTGTCATTCGTCAATGATTTGGTTTTAACGTACATACATACTTACATACAAATACAAAACGAAACGAAATGAAATTTTATTTGCTTCTCAAAATTAATAATTGAAAGAAAGCAGGAAGACCATAAATAGAATTCACATCATATTCATCTGTTATGGCCACCTAAACAGAAATGTTCTGAGTTCACTTAAAAATTTTCAGCAAATAATAAAAGAAATTTTACATACATACATACATACATACATACATACATACATACATACATACATACATACATACATACATACATACATACATACATACATACATACATACATACATACATACATACATACATACATACATACATACATATACATACATACATACACACACACACACACACACGTACAAACAAACACAACAGGGTCTGTACTACTCCTACTTCAAAACGATAGCTCAAGCACCCACTTTCATCAGCGGTATGAAGCAGATCATGTTCGATACGGTGACAGAGTACCCTCTGACTATTAACACACTCAAGAGGTTTAATCTATACCCAGAGGTTTGTATTTTGTATTTTTTTTTCTTTTTGTGTGCTTTGAATTTTTTAGCGTCTTTTGTATGTGCATCAGTTTTTTTTTCAAAATATTATTCAATCTTTTGTTCAAATTCACGTGTGTCAACTGCTATGATGGGCAAATAATTATAACCAACAATTAATGCTCTATATGAAAAACAGTGATGATTTAAATGTTATTCGGCTTTTAAAAATGGCCGAAACCGAATATTAAATTTTGGTCTGATCTTCGCTCAGGCTGAATATCTAGTACATCTCTCTCTCTCTCTCTCTCTCTCTCTCTCTCTCCCTCTCTCTCTCTCTCTCTCTCTAGTTAATATTGGTTTGAACGCTAAACTTTTTCTGATGTTACTGTGATTGATTTTTGACTGAGCCTGCTGTCTTCTTGTTTGTTGTTTTTATTAGTGGTAGTAGCAGCAGTTGTAGTAGTGGTAGTAGCTGCAGTAATGGTTTTAGTAGTAGCAGCAGCAGTAGTAGTAGTATTGTTGTTATGTTTGTTGTTTTTCTAGTACTTATTTGCTTAAGTTTATTGTCGTTGTTTATTATTATTATTTTGATGTTGTTTTCTATTATTGTTGTTGACGTTGTTAATGTTGTTGATGGTATTGTTGATGATGTTGTTGTTGTTGTTTTATGTTATTATTATTCCTGTTGTTCATTGCAGCGTTGGGAGCCATTGTACAGGCATCTGAGATTAATCTTGTGCTCGTACAATGGGATAGTGCAGTTCAATGTCATGTCTGTGTGTGTATGCGCGCGTGTGTATGTGTGTTTGTATGTGTGTGTGTATGTGTGTGTTTGTTTGTTTTCGTTTATCTATCAACACGGACATCATGGTCATCACATTTATTGGCGTCATCATCGTCAATGTCGTCATCATTTTTATCATCATTTTCGTCCTCGTCTTCATCATCATTTTCGTCATCACATCATCTTCGCCATCATCTTCGGCATCATTATGTTTAAAACGTTTCATCACTCTAAATTTAATGTACCCGAGACACGTACCTACGCTTTGTTTGGTCTTTATGGACATTTAGGTACCATAAAATACCTTAAAATACCTTAAAATACTCAACACAATACATTCGGTATGTCTGACAAGTTTTCTACGGTGAGATGGACAATGGCCGAGTGTAATTGTACCACATAATTTTTGTGTGTGTGTGTATGTGTGTGTGTGTGTGCGCGTGTGTGTGTTTGTTTGTGGTGTGTTTGTGGGTTGTATAATACCATAATTTGTACCCACAAATGCCGAAAAACGTATGTTATGCATTTATAATATGAGACATGTGAGATTGCTGCCCTTTTTCAAATACAACGTAGTATTCGTTTGTATGTCGTTTTGTATGCGTCTGTATATCATTTTGTATGTTTTTGTATGTTTGTATATGTTTGTGTACCATAGTTTAATCTATATCTACAAAAGATACAAAATGATACAAAAAAGATACTAAATAATTTGTATAAAGAAAATTTGTTTTCTTAAGTTAACTTTTTTCAGGGAAAATGTTTTCTTCTAGGATGAAATAATTGCCATCTTTAAAATTTTTATTATTCCTCCGAGTGATTGTGAGTTAGCGTCTACTTAGTTTTTGTGATTTGTGTATGTGTGTGTGTGCGCGTGTATGTGTGTGTGTGCGCGTGTATGTGTGTGTGTTTATGTGTGTGTGTTGTTGGATTCATGTTTGTATGTGTTGGAGTGTAGGGGTGGGCTTTTGTTTGTTGGGTATTTATGTTTGAAAGTTAAGTTTGCATCGTGTTTGTTGTGTTTGTTTGGGTATTTGTGTGTATATATAGGGGTATTTGTATATGTGTGCATATGTGTGGTGTGTGTGTGTGTGTTTCAGTATGTGTGTTTCTGTGTGTGTGTTTCTGTGTGTGTGTGTGTTTTTGATTCTTCTGATCGTGATTGGACGATTTGGCAACATTCGTTTATCAAGACGAACATTACTCATTTCATTTATCAATGTTCTGTACCTTGTCCTACGTTGTAGCATTAACGTCATTATCATCATCGTCGTCACCGATGACGTCATCATCGTCTTCATTGTCACCATTGGCATAATTTTTTCCTCCTTCATTGTATCTATCATATTAGCTAATAATTATTGATATTTTCAATAATAATAATAAAAATTTATTAAATAAAAATTAGTAATAAAAATGGAAATGTGATTATTCCAAAGGTCTTGTTAGGTGCGATGTATCGAATTTACGAGTGGCTGGCCAAAATGTTAAAGTACCAGACCATGGTTTGCTACAGTGTTAACAGAGGGAAAAATTTATCCCCGGTTCAAAGTTGCGAAGGTCGGTTTGTTGATTTGTTGGATGGTTGGTTTGTTTGTTGGTTGGTTGGTTGGTTGGTTGATTGGTTGGTTGGTTTGTTGGTCGGCCGGTCGGTCGGTATGTTGGTTGGTTTATTTGTTTGTTGATTGATTGGTTTGATGGTTGGTTGGTCGGTTGGTCGGTCGCTCAGTTGATGGGTTAGTAGGTTGGTTTATTTGTTTGTTGGTTGATTGATTAGTTGGTTGGCTGGCTGGTTGATTGATCGATTGATTCATATATTTATTTTATAATGATTCAATTATTAATTTTCAATTTTTGCCAACCTGTTCAACTAAAAAAAATGTTGACAATAATGGGAAAATATTTTTCTGGAAACAAACAGGTCTCGGCGAGAAGCCGTACTTCTACGTGGAGGCGGTATTTCTACTGAACGGGCTGAACATGGGACTGTTCTTTCTCTTTGGATGGTACTTGAGGTCAGTTTTGATTGGTCTCGTTGATTGGTCAGTTGGTTTTTTATTGGTTGGCGGGTTGGTTAGTTGATTTTGATTGGATGGTGGGTTGGATGATTGATTTTTGATTGGATGACGGGTTGGTTGATTGATTTCAAAACTTTCTTCCTATTAACTGCTCTCCGACAGTGGCTCATATTTTGGAGGATTGATAACTGTTCTGTGCTTTTTCTTCAATCATGGAGAGGTTCGTTCATTCATTCACTCATTCATCTACCCATCTATTCATCTATTCATTCATTCATTCATCCATTCATCTATTTATTCATCCAGTGCACTAGAGTACAATGGACGCCTCCGCTTAGAGAAAGTTTCGCCTACCCATTCCTCGTTCTGCAAATGTTCCTCGTTACCAAAACTATCAAGTAAGTTAATCTAATCTGTGTTTGTATGTGCGTGTGTGTGTTTGTGTGTGTATGCGTGCGTGTGTGTGTGTGTGGGTGTTTGTGCGTGAGTGTGCGTGCGTGTGTGTGGGTGTTTGTGTGTGTGTGAGTATATGCGTCTGTGAATACACATTGTTTTGTAGTACATACTTTTGTAGTTGTACGTTTGCATACATACATATTTACAAGCAAACATATAAACAGATACAAACATACAAACACCTTGCATACAAACACGCATACAAACAGATCAGGGAAAACATCCTTTAAGACGCACAGCCTCCCGATAGCGGTAGCCACAACATGCTTCATGCTACCCTGGCAGGTTCGTCAGACTACACGTGCATCGTTTATAACGAATTTTTCGTTACTACGAAATGCTTTATTGCAACGTGTTTTACCCTTATAACGAATGTTTTCTTTGTTAAATCTTGAATGTTCGTCTATATCGTAACGTTTTTTCACCTTCTTCTCTTAGTAAGCCCACTAATTTTCAAATGACATTCTATTTAAATCTGAGCGATTACTGATCTTTCTCTGATTATAAATTCTTTCATAATTGGACATTGTTATGAATGTCGAGGGGGTTTGTGTTTGAGGATAATGTTGTTGCTGTTGTTTTCGTTGTTGTGGTTGCGGTTGTTGCTGTGTTGTTGTTGTTGTTGTTATTGTGGTTGTTGTTGTGGTTGTTGTTGTTTTCGTTGTTGTGATGGTTGCTGTGTAGTTGTAGTTGTGGTTGTTGTTGTTTTCGTTGTTGTGGTTGTTGTTGTTGTGGTTGTTGTTCCTTTTTTCAATTTTCGGCCCGGGCTCGCTATCTCTCTCGACCCTTTTGACACGAACTCCCCCGCGTATGCTTTAATTTAAATCCATCCATCTAACCGTCTAAGAACATTTATCCATTGGTGTACTCATTTGTTTGTTTTGTTCGTTCGTTCGTTTACCCATTAATTTATATGTTTGTCCGTTTATTCATTCATTTATTCATTCATTCATTCATTCATTCATTCAATCAATCAATCATTCATTTGCTCATAATTCGTTCGTTTATTCGTTTTCTTTCCATTCAATTTTCATGCTTGCTAGAAAATATTTTTCTTCATTCATTCCCAGTTTTTTTCCATTTGTTAATATGATAATCATCATCATCATTATAATCATCATCATCATCAACGTTATCATCAACGTCATCATTGACGTCATTATCGTTACCATCGTCATCATCATTAGTTTGCTCAGTTCGCCTTGTTGATGCAGACCCTTTCGGTGTATGCCACTTACTTACTCGGCCTTATCAGGTCAGCCACTCTGCAAGTTATCATCGCTGGTCAATCGGTTGGTTGGTTGGTTGGATGGTTGGATGGTTGGTTGGTTGGATGATTGGTTAATTGGTTTGTTGGTTCGTTGGTTCGTTGGTTTTTTGGTTGGTTGGTTAGCTGGCTGGTCGGTTGGTTGGTCGGTTGGCTGGTCGGTTGGCTGACTGGCTGTCACACTATGTGATAATACCATAAGCCGAATAGCATTACGGTTCATTAGAGATCGTTATTTTGTTGTTGTAAACGACGACAAAATGGTGATAATGATGGTGGTTTGTTGGTGATAGTGATGATGATGGTAATGATGACGATGATCACGACGACGACGATGATGATGATGTTGGTGATAATTTAAAAATTACAACGTAATATTTATTAATTTATTTAATAAATAATTTATTTATTTAGATTTGAAGTAATATTTATATTAATCAACTAATTAATAATTAATTACATATTGAATTAATCAATTATATGTGATAAATAAACACGGTTTCAATTAATTATGATATTTTTATTCGTTTTTTTTCGTATTCTTTTCTTTCCATCTGAAAATTTTTTTTCCATTCTCACGCCAATAGTTCGTTAGCCTAATCATTCAATTGTTACGTCATCACCATCGTCATCATCATTTCTATTACTAATTATTATTATTAATTATAATTATTATTATTAATTATTATTATTATCGTCATCATCATCATCGTCGTCGTCATCATCATCATCATCGTCGTCATCATCATCGTCGTCGTCATCGTCATTAGCTCCAATCCACGTGACTTCTTAAATTAGCATCGTCAGTCTAATGATCGACCGGCGCTTCTGTTGGCGTTGTTGTTGCTGCTGCTGCCGATGTTGTTGTTGTTGTTAATGTTATTATATTATCATTATTATTATTGTTATTATTGTTATTATTATTTAGGACTAACCTTCTCTCGTTGTACACATTCTTTTTATAAGATGGCGAGCTTCGGAGTTTATTTCAGGACATTTTACTATATACATAAATATTTTAATTTTGATTATCATTGACAATTATTGTTTCTCTCATTTCATGTATGTTTTTACGATGAAAATAAAAAGGTGTTCTCATTATTATTATTATTTTTATTATTATTATTATTATTTGTCGTCATCACTCACAGTTGGGCCTTCTCGTCTCAGTCCTCTTCCTGTTCGCCAATGAGATGCTCGTGACCTCATTCTTCTCCTCCTCATTGGTCTCTATTTGGGTCAGCTTGTGTGTGTGTACGTGTGTGTGTATGTGTGTGTGTGCGTGCGTACGTGTGTGTGTGTTTTGTGTGCGTTTATGTGTTGAGATATTTTATTTTCAATTTATTCTTCATAATTCATGCTGAAAAGAGCTGAAAAAACGAATTCCTAATAGTTGAAAGAATGAATAAATTAATGAATGATTGAATAAACGATTGAATGAATGAATAAATTATTTTATTAATTAAATGAAAGAATTAATGAAAAATATCTGACCTCCATTAGATAATACTCTACACTGAAAAGTATTTAAACAAGTTAAATCTTCCACATCTGTTCAAAAGCGTTAGTTTCGCTGAATGGATGAATGAATGAATGATTGAATGGATGAATGAATGGATGAATGATTGAATGGATAAATGAATGGATGAAAGGATGAACGAATGCATGAATGGATGGGTGAATAAATGAAGGAATGATGAAATGGATTTGAAGATAATTCAGGGTTTGTCGTTATTGGCGATGACATTCTACATAAAGATCATCATCTCGAAACTACTAAATGTTACTGATGATGTGAGTAACTAGATTTTTCACTCGCTTGTTCATTCATTCATTCACTCACTCATTTTTTCAATCATTCATTCAATTTATTACTCACATGTTCGAAAACAAGTCCAGTAATTTACCTACTAGCTCACTCATTCACTTACGCACTCTTCACTGAATTATTCATTCACTTGTTCAATTATTCATTAATTTACTAATTAATTTATCCTTTCATTCATTCGTTCGTTCGTTCATTCAATCATTCATTTATTTATTCATTCACCAACTCCCTTAGGAACATATAGGCGATTTATTCAGAAGCAAGTTCAGTAACTTCCAGAACTTCCACACGCAGCTCTATGTCTGCGCACCCGAGTTCGATTTCATGGAGCTCGCTGTTAGTCCATGTGATGATGACGATGATGACGATGTTGATGATGGTGATGATGATGATGATAGTGGTGCTGGTGATGATAAGGATGATGATGATGATGACGATGATGATAATGATGATGATGACGACGACGATGATAATGATGATGATGAAACGTTCACTGCAGACGCCAATTAGGTTGACAAAAACATTACTGTTGCCTTGCAGTACCTTTATCACACTCGTCATCATCATCAAGGTGTGTTTGTTTGTTTGTCTGTCTGTGTCTGTTTGTTTGTTTGTTTGTTTGTGTATATATCTGTCTGTCTGCCTGTTTGTCTGTCTACCTCCTGTTTGTGTTTGTGTTTGTGTATATGTATGAATGTATTTTTGTATTTGCACTTGTATGTATGTACGCGTATAAATGTATCTTTGTGTGTGTTTATGTGTGTGTGTGTGTGTGTTATTGTTGCTTTTAGTGACGTCATCATTGTCGTCATGACCAGGTGATCATTCCGCAGTTGCGAACCATGCTTAAATTGCATCCCGTGACTTCTTCTACGTCATCAACTACGTCATCATCGTCAACATCGAATTTTGTCGGTTACCATGACAACCGTACGGCAAAGAACAGGGATAGCAAAAATGGCATGCATAGACAACTAAACAAAGGAAGTGGAGATGGCGATGGAATGTGAGTGCTTTGAGTTCTTTGGTGTCGTGTTAAATGATGGTGGGTTTTCATTCTTTGTTAGGTTGAGAGGGTGATTGATAACAACTATGGTGATTAAGATGATGAAGATGATGATGATGGTGAAGATGATGATGACGATGATAATAAACATGATGACATGACGATTTGGCTATGAGTTTGCTGATAATTTGACGTACAAAAATTATTAACATTCCAGATTATCACCATCATCATCATCACATTCCTCCAACCCATCATCGTCATCATCACCGCCGGACCTCGAACAAGCATCATTCGTTTACCACACATTCCAACTATCTGCCTACTCGGCCATGGCTATCATTATCATGAGGCTCAAGCTTTTTTGGACGCCCCACCTCTGCTTGATGACGTCATTGCTGGCCAATCAGCGAGTAGGGATTTGAATGAATAGGCGGGATTTATTTTAATTTGTAATTTCTGATTGGTTCGAAATTTGTAACACACGATCTGGTCTATGTCCATTTTATGGCCTTTTTAATTAATTACTTTGTTCTCCTCATTAACATAGCTCCTGCCATGGTTGGGCAGCAGGTACAAACACTTTAGCATAATCGCATGCATCGCCGCCCTCATGGGCTGCCAGGGCGTGGTCAACTTGAGGCAGCAGTGGAGCGTTCAGGGAGAGTTCAGCAACATTCAGATGGAAGAAATGATTGAGTGGATCAACCATAGAACGCCTCGAGGTTTGTTTCACACGAATGGTTTGTTGAGTTTTTTTTTTTAATTTTTAATGTTTCAGTTAGTCAATCAGCCTAATAATCAGCCTGTGAATCAATAAATAATTCAACTCGTCAAACGATCAACCAATCAATCAATCAATCAATCAATCAATCATTCTCCCCGCCAATGACCTATCAGATGCAGTCTTCGCCGGTCCAATGCCGACGATGGCGACAGTTAAGTTGTGCACAGGGCGGCCTATTGTCAATCATCCCCATTATGAAGATGCCGGCCTGAGGTGGGTGTGGTTATTTATGTTAATTTAATATTAATTTATGTTATTTACGTTAACTTATAGTTAATTTATGTTACTACCATTATCCTCACCTCATCATTATGACCATCCTGACACAACCAGAAATCGAACCCGGATGGTGTACACTGTGTTCAGTCGCAAAAGTTCAGAGTTGATGTACAGGATATTCACTGAAATGAAAGTGCAATACTTCATCGTTGAGGAACAATGGTGCCTGAGAAGATCCAAGTTAGTGGATTGATTGATTGATTGATTGATTGATTGATTGATTGATTGATTGATTGATTGATTGATTGATTGATTGATTGATTGATTGATTGATTGATTGATTGATTGATTGATTGATTGATTGATTGATTGATTGATTGGCTGGCTGGCTGGCTGGCTGGCTGGCTGGCTGGCTGGCTGGCTGGCTGGTTGGTTGGTTGGTTAGTTGGTTAAATGAATGAATAAATGTATGAATAAATTAATGAATGATCGATTGATTCATTCATTCATTCATCCATCGAACAGACCCGGTTGCGGCATGACGGATATATGGGACATGGAGGACCGGGATAACCTTGCGTTCGAACCCCTGTGCAAAAGATTGTACGACGACCCCTCCCCCTATTTTGTCAAAGTTTTTAAGAATAACGTCTATGATATCTTCAGAGTTCTCGATAACAACAAAGTGAATAAGAATAGCAATAATAATAACAACAACAATAATAATAATGATAATGATGATGATGATGATGTTAAAAGCAAAGTTAACGAAGTCAACGACGGCATTAATGTTGTCGATATTGACGATGACGTCAGTCTGGATGGTGACGATGAACTTGGTGGTGGTTATGGCAATGATGCTGCTAGATGATGGTGGTGATGGTGATGCTATATGATGATGATGATGATGATGATGATGATGGGGGTGATGATGATAATGATTATAAGTGATTATTTTTCATCTATATGCGAAGGCATTTTTACTGGGAAAAATCAATTTCATTTTGAAAATATTGAAATTTATATTATTATTATTATTATTTAATATTATTAATATCGTTATTATTATTATTGTTATTGCTATTACGATTCTGTACTGTGGTTTTTGGTTAAATTATTTATTATTCGTGCCTTTCCAGAAACGATCCAGAAATAAAATGACTGTATATATATATATATATATATATATATATATATATATATATATATATATATATATATGTGTGTGTGTGTGTGTGTGTGTGTGTGTGTGTCTAAAAGTGTAGTGTGTTTTTGTTTGTGTGCGTGCGTGTGTGTGCGTGTTTGTGTGCGTGTGTGCGTGAAATTTTTGTTCCCCATTGTATCAGTCATCTGCAAAAAAAAGTATATGGATTATATATTAGTCAGGTTTGAGTTCTTTGTTTTTCAATTTCATTCTCTAGCTTAATTTTTCGTGATCCGTTCTTCTTTTCATTGTTATTATTATTCTTATTATTTATTTGAATATTCATATCTGAAATGCATTTATCTAAGCGATCTGTCTGAGTTGGAGCTAGTCCGCCATAAGATGACCAAAATATTATGTTATTATTATTGTTATTTATTGATTTATTATTAATATTATGTTATAATTATTATTGTTGTTGTTATTATTATTGTTGTTGTTATTATTATTATTCACTCATTTACTCACTACTTTGTTGACTCTTTCATTCGTTCGTTCAATTGGTAATTCATTCATTTATCTATTTAAAACGTTTGGCCAAAAAAATTCCATTTTGTCCTATACTCGGCTTATTTGTTTTCAAGATCTGAATTTTATTTATATAATTGTCAAATAAAAAGATAATTAATTAATTAATTAATATAAACTTATTTATTTTACTTTTTAAACAAAAAATATTTGCTGTATATGTATAGTATAATTCATTTATAAATACGAATTCAAAAATTCACTAATATATTGTGTGTGTTTGTGTGTGTGTGTGTGGGTGTGGTGCATGTAAGAGTGACAAAAAATACTATGATAAATACTAAATAAGTCTTAATAGATAGGTTCAAACGTTGCATGCACGCATACATACAATCAAACAAACAAACACATACATACATACATACATACATACATATATACATACATACATACATACGAATATATATAGCAAAATATATACAAAAAAATATATTTTACATGTATTTTAACAGAAACATATACATAAGGCAAACAGCTATTGAAGCTTTCTTAAAGGCACTATATTAGCTTTCCATAATCTATAAGAATAATAATAAAAGGAATAATAACAATAATAATAACATGAACTTTCGGTGGAATATATCATCTTGAAATGAGGAAGGTCAAAAAATCGTTTGTAAAAACGCGCATAAAGGCAAAAATCAATTTTGTATTTATTGTATATCCGTTTGTATATCGTTTGTATGTATGTATGTTTGTGTGTATATGTATATATATATGTATCTATGTATGTATGTCAGTTGTATATGTTTAAGTGTGTATGTACGTACATATAAATGTTTGTATAAGTGCATGTGTATATATGATTGTATGTGTATGTATGTGTATATTTTTGTTGTAATTGTATCAAATTCTAAGACGCGTGTTTGTTTACTTGATCAAATTTCAAAAAAAAAAAAAAAATGTGACGTAACGCGGAAAATGTTTAGATGCATTCTACAATTAGGGAGAATTAATATATAATTGTAAAAAGTCAGCGAAATTGAAGTAAGAACAATAAAGTGGATAATAATAATAACAATAATAATAATAACAATAATAATAATAACAATAATTTTTCATGCGGCCAATTTGGAAATAGTGTTAATATAAGTATTGCGATAAAAAGATAATTAATAATATAGAAATAAAAATATTAATAATAATGATAATGTTGATAATACTAACGATATTTCATATAATAATAACAACAAATAGATGATAATAATTACTTTTATTATTATTATTATTATGACTTCATGCATATCATCCACCAATCAGGCTATTTGGTTGACTTCCGGAATGAAGGCCTCCCACAAATCAGCAAGCTAGGATTTGAAATTTAAGTTTTTAAATATTTTATCAGGTAAAATTAACCTAAAATTATTTTTGGAACTGTATATATATACAAAACAAATACAACATTACCTAAAAAAATACAACGAAATATAATACAACTACATTACAAGACATCAAGAAAATACAACATAATACAATACAACCCAATACAACATAATACTATACAATACCCAAAAATACATGAGAATACAATACAATACCTGTTGCTGGCACTGCGCGTTCATCTTAAGATAATGAACAGCAACCTCTTTAATTTCGAGGGTTCTCATCTTATCGAGTTGAGACATTTCCTGGCGAATGGTCTGCGAGATGCAGTCGAACCTGGCGGCTTCGTCTTTCACTTTCTGCTCCAACTGGTGTAGTTGTGCAGTTGTGTGTGGTGTGGTTGACACAAGCAAATAAACACACACATTCACAGATGATACTTTTTCAAATATTTTTCCTTTCTCTTTCACATAGATACTTTCTCCCTTTCTCTCTATCTCTCTCTCTCTCTCTCTCTCTCTCTCTCTCTCTCTCTCTCTCTCTCACTCTCTCCATATCTATCCTTTTCTCACTTTTTCTTTCCCTATCTATCTATTTATCTATCTATCTATTTCTCTTCCTCTCTCTCTCTCTCTCTCCCTCTCTCTCTCTCTCCCTCTCTCTCTCTCTCTCTTTCTCTCTCTTCTCACCATCAATATCTCACCTCGGCAATCTCGTTATTGACGACGTCGATCCTCTCCATTTTCCTCTGTATCTCCATTTTTGCCTTCAGTAACTTCTTCTTCTCCAGGTTCGCTTCCGTATCCTTCCAATGTTTGTGTACCTTCACTCGCTCTGACAGTATGTTCTGTGTGAGTGTGTGTGTCCGTCTGTGTGTGTACGTGTGTATGTGTGTGTGTGTGCGTGCGTGCGTGCGTGTCCGTCTGTGTGTGTGTACGTGTGTGTGTGTGTGCGTGTCCGTCTGTGTGTGTGTACGTGTGTGTGTGTGTGCGTGTCCGTCTGTGTGTGTGTACGTGAGTGTGTACGTGTGTGTGTGTGTACGTGTGTGTGTGTGTGCGTGTCCGTCTGTGTGTGTGTACGTGAGTGTGTACGTGTGTGTGTGTGGATGTGTGTGGATGGATGAATGAGTGAATGAATGAATAAACGAATGAATATATGAAAGAACAAATAAGTAAAGTTAATGACAATAAGATGACATTTATACTTAAGTGAGAACACAACAAAATTGAAACAATCACAGACAGACTTAGAAAACAGACATAGCAGACGCTAAAAAACGAACTGACCCACACACACACACACACACACACACACACACACACACACACACACACACACACACACACACACACAAACAAACAAACAAACATACTGACAAACAAACAAAAATAAACCCTCAAATTAGTAATCATCAGTAAGTTATCCTTTATAACTTCAGACAGGCAGTAGAGATCCAGATTGGATAATTCGGTCTGGATATTTTCGATCTTTCCAAAGACATCGGATAGAGATGATAACACTTTGGACAACTGCAGATCCTCTTCCGCGCTTCCCATGTTTGCCACACTCTTCGACAGCATGTTCGTGCACTGGGATAGGTCTGCGATGATGATGTGGTGATGATGATGATGATGACTGACGGTGACGATAATGATGAATGATGACGACGGTGATGATGATGATCTTTTCGACTTTGATGATGACGATATTTTTTAACCACGATGATGATGATGATGATGATGACGACAATGATGATGATGATAATGATGATACAGACCTCTTCTTTGCAGGACAAGCTGTTCACAGCTGGAATGCAAGTCTCTCAGATCATTCTCCAGGACTTCTATTTGCTCCACTTTGTCTTCGAACCACTGAGGTTGAAGATGCAGCCGTGATGACGACGAAAATTACGACAAGTTTGTTTGATAAGGATGTATAAGAATGACAAGGAATATAGCTTGTTTTAAAAGGAGGAAACTAATTTATCGACCATATTACGCATTTTCATGTGTGTGTGTGCGTGTGTGTGTGTGCGTGTGAGTTAGTGTATGTGCGTGTGCGTATACGTGTGTTGGTGTATGCATGTGTACGTGTGCGTTCGTGCGCGTGTGCGTGCGTGCGTACACGAACCTGGTCAGTCTCGGGGAGAGTGTAGGTCATTTTATTGATACTGTCCCCGACACGACCGAACAATTTCGCGAGGCCCGCCCCCGAAAAAACACTGGCCGACGCGGGTCTGGAGAGTTCCCCTTCGAGTTGGAGGAACTCTACGAAGGAAGGGTCCTTGCTCAGTTCGGGGTGACGTGATATACGCGTTAGAAATCTGAGAGGCGGTTGATTGATTGGCTGATGGCTGGTTGGATGAATGGTTTGATTGAGTGGCTGGTTGGTTGATTGTTGGTTAAATTGTTTGGCTGGATGATTGGTTGATTGAGTGATTGGTTGATGGCTGGTTGGAACGGAATTTGTTGAAAATTTATGAAACATCGAAAGTTTTCCATCTAGAATTCAAACAGGACAGTTTAGAATTTATTTACTAAGACGATGATGGTGTTAACGATGAAGAAGATGGTAACGACAACGACGATGATGATGAGGAAGAGAAGAAGGAAGATGGTGATAACGTTGCAAGAACCTCTCCAAGGCAGCCCTCCTCTTCTCAACAAACTCCATGCTGGCGAACTCATCTTCTTTCGATATTTTCATCTTTGCCATGCCTGTCAGCACATTCATTCGTTACATTCCATTAAAAAAATTATCCCTAATGAATCAGTCAATCGACCAAAAACTTCCCAACCAACCAACCAGCCAACCAACCAGCTAATCAGCCAACCGACCAACCAATGACATCCTTTTCCGGGGGCAGTGGTACAATCCTGCCGAGGTGTTGATGGTTAGTGATGAGTTTCTCGTGTAGAATCAGGAAGTCACTGAACCTTCGAATGACACTCATGTCCGCCATGTTGAACTGTTTCATGTTCGTCTGCGTGTGAACATCAATTAATTGAGGAGTGAACTAACGAACGAACCACAAGGTAAACAAATTATAAAAAGAACCAATGAACGATAGAACAAACAAATAAATGACTGACGGAAAAACAAATGAATGAATGAAAAAATGAAAGAACTAACAAATAAACAAGCGAATGAATGAACGAACGAACGAACAAACAGACAAGCTGAAGAGTTGAACGTAAAACGGAGTGAAAGACCGAGCAATCGATGAATAGAAGGAATGAATGAATGAATAAAAGAAATAATAAACAAACCAGCAGAGCGAATGTTTGAAAAAAAGGAACAAATACATAAAGAGGAGGGTAAATAAATGAAAATTAAAACAAATGAAAGAACGAACAAATGAATGAATGAATGAATGAACGAACGAACGAATGAATGAATGAATGACCAGGATGGAAGGAGACTGACCTTAGTAGAGACCTTGTAGGCCACGTAAGCGCTCATCCCATCACCAACCTTTTTGGCGTCGGTCACTTTGATCTCAATCATATCATTGTTTGTCTCCTCGTGTAAATTTATCTGTCCATAATAATAATAGTTATAATAAAAATAATAATTATTATTATTATTATTATACAAACAAATACAAATAAACACAGACAAATACAATACAAAAAAATACAAACCTCAAAATTGTTTGCATGCTCCCTGATGTTTGTATCAAACAAAACAGCAGCCGAATTGTCAGCCGCCTTCATCCTGCCCCCTTCATCATCATCATCACCACCGACCTTCCTGACACCACCATCATCATCATCATCATTATCTTCCTCCTCCCCCAAAACATCATCAAATATGCCCTTGGTCACTTTCTTGCCGTTCATCACGCCCCTATTATTAACCCTAACATCAGTGCTGTCACTGGTCATTATGGCGGCCGGTGACGTGATGATGACGTCATTCATGATACCTGCGGACGGTGTGGCGAGGGTTGGGGTTGGTTTTTTATCTTTGTTCGGCGAGGGCGAGGAAATGTCGAAATCGCCGGACGTGGCGACTAACATGGAGTCTGTACGTGGTTTCTCTGTGGAGAGGATGACGATATGACGATGACGGAAATAGCAATGGTGATAATGATGATGACGACGATGATGATGGTGATGATTATGAAGATGAAAACGATGATGATGATGATGATGACGACGACGATGATGATAATGACAACTATTATAAAGATGATAATGATAATGACGACGATGATGAAGATGATTTTCGTAAAACTATTACAGTTCAATAATGAGATGCATACAAAATGTGTTATCATCGTCACATCATCAATCCATTTTCATATCACATCTGTTAAAAAATGTTTGTGCGTGTGTGCGTGCGTGCGAGCGTGTGTGAGCGTGTGTGTATAAACATCTGCTTCATTGATTTTGTAGGTGTATGTATACGCTTGTGACAGTTGATAACATGAGGTGAATAAGCAAACACGACAACATCTCCATTATTTTTTATTACTATTATTCACTGAATTAATCAATTACCCAATTAATTAGTTTAAATATATATATGTATATATATATATATATATATATATATTTGAAGAAAAAAAATTTAATTAAATTACCCTTAAATTCCTTTCCATCGTCTTCACTATCATCAGATGGAAAAACATTTTCTGGTCTCTTAATTAATTAATTAATTTGCTTATTAATTAATTAATTGGTTGATTAATTAATTAATTAATTTGTTTATTTAATTTAACATTTTTTTATTTTTTTTTTTTTTTTTTATTACTATATTTACTACACATACTAAAAAATAATTATTATAATTCAATTTACCTATCTGATTTACTTCGCCAACAAAGCAATCATATGATGTAACATACTAATTGAAGAGTAATTAATTTAGTAGTAGTAATAATACTAGCTACTAATCATTTAGCAGTAGTATTAATTAATTAATCAATCAATCAACTAATATAATGAAATAAAGTTACATAAGTTTTGAATAAAAATAAGTAAAAAATTAATTTAATAAACATTTTGTGAAAGTTTAGTCTCTCTCTCTCTCTCTCTCTCTCTCTCTCTCTCTCTCTCTCTCTCTCTCTCTCTCTCTCTCTCTCTCTTTCACTCTCTGCAAACTAAACATTTATAAATTAACTAAACCAAAAGTTTAGTTACTTCTAAAGCTAATGCTAAACTCTATGAAAAAACTTATATAATAAGTTGTTCTATTTTTTTAGTTAACTCAAACTCTTACAAAATTTAATTAAATAATTAAATCTAACTAACTTTACCAAATAGATTTAAATACCAGTAATTGATAACTTGAATAGTTAGTTAATTCTTTAATTAACTAATTAGTTAGTTAGATAGTTTAATTAATTAATTTAATTAATTTAAAAAAACCTTTTTATTAGAATTAGGGGGCGGAGTGGCCAACAAATCACTACCAAGCTCGGACATGTTCGGGTAATTTTAGGAAAAAATAATTCACAAATAATGAAAATAAATCTCAAACAAAAACGCTAAAAAAATTTCAAAAATGTCAAAATTGTCAAAAAGTTAATCTTGAACTAAAAATATTCAAATTGAAGTGTAAGGAATAAACAAGTCATATGCAGTTAAAGAAAGTGTTGAAAAGTTAAGTTAAATTTAATTACGGCTGGCTAGACTAATTAATTGTTTGTTTAAACTTTTTGAAAAACATGTAGTAGCATTGCATATTATCTTTATAATAGCATCAGTTGTGAAGAAACTAACTTAAAAGTAACAGCCATATACGTTTAAGTAACAACTGATACTATTTCTATATTTCATTCAATAATTCAATCAAAAATTCAAAGATTTTGATGGCCTATAATGAAAAAAAGATGGATATACACTATGGTCTATCAATTTATATTTATTTGTTTGACTCAATTATTTATCTTATATAATTTTATTTGTCATGGCTCATCTCTGATAGAAGTAGAAAAGTTGACAGCAAGTAATGGCAACCTACTGTCCACAACTAATGCCAAGAAATCCAACGACAAACACAAACCAAATAAAAAAACATCATGGTAGTGACAAGTTGAATACACTTTTCACTGTGGCAACATGGAACGTTAGAACGTTGTACCAAACTGGAAAATTTGAAAATGTAAAACAAGAAATGAAAAGAATGAATCTCAGCATTGTAGGTGTATTTTTGAACAAAAAAATGTCTAAAAACTTAGAAGGTTTCTGAGCGGTGTCAGATAAAGTTTTGTTTATCAAAATATACGCAAAACCTTTTAACCTAGCTTTTATTCAAGTTTATGCGCCGACGTGAATGCGGCACGAGAAACGCTATCTTCATGCTGGAATGATCATAGTTTAAATGTGTGTGTGTTTACTTGTGCAACTATAGGCCTGCATGTGCGTGAGTGTACGTGTACATATGCTTTATGTACGTGCATACGCTTTTGTGCGTGCGTGTGAATTATTTAGTTAAATTACGAAAGTTATAAGCAGCTGCAGGAATTCGGAGCAAGCCTCTGCTACTATTATACATAAATTTAGCCTTTAAAGCATTCCAAACAATCTTGTTTTCTTTCATTCCTTTCGAATTTTTTGAATTGCACCTCTCCTGATTAATAAATTATCTTGATAGTATATTTATACTTTGAATAGTTGCCATTGAATTAATTGGTTTAATTTTTGTCTGTTTAATTTGTTGAAAAGATTTTCACGATGTCTCTGCCGTTCTCAAAAGGAAAAATAAAAGTTTTCATTTCATCTGTATGCTTGGATAAAGAGGTTGTTGTTCGTTGTGTCGTGAATCATTCATCTTATTATTATTATTATTTTATTATTATCATTATATTATTATTATTATTATTATTATTATTATTATTATTATACTATTAGTGATGTTGTTTATGCTACTTTTTTAGTTTCCAAGCGTTACCACCAATCAATAATTAAATAATAAATTTAAAAAAACAAAATTTAAAAAAATAAGAGAAAATGTCAAATGCAACCGATTCCAGATACACCTTCAACAACAGCGTGTGGTGCAGTGCCTAGAAGCCCGCCAGATACCTCACACTGTGGCCGACCTAGCCACGGACAACTACAGCAAGAGGGAGTTGAGGATGCTGATGTTGGGAAAACCCAAACCACCTCCACAGATTTTTAACGGAAATACCCATTGCGGAGTTTGTATGTTAAGAGTTTCTATGTAGGCGACTGTAATACAATGACGTGTGAATTAACGCATAGCATATATTGCGTTTGATATACGTGGATTTCGTTTGCTTTCGAACCTGGTTTCATTGCAAAAACACAAAATTAGGCATCTTTAATATAATTACATCATTTCGACATCTGATTTAATTACTTATGAGTTTATTTACCAGTAGACATATTGTTGTCAATGTTTTTGACACATTTCTCAAGAAACCAATATTTAATTGGTTAATTAATATTAATAAATGATTGAATAACTAAATAAATGATTGAATACTTTTGTATTCGATCAAAAAATGATTTAATTAAAATATTACTAATTATTTATATACCTAATATCGAAAACATCTTGCATTGTCCAACTAGGATTACCAAGCTTTCAATGTAGCCCTTGAAGATGAAATGCTGGAGGAATTCTTGCAACTTTCAGATGGAAAGAAAAAGAAAAAGGAGGAAGGAAAAGAATGTAAGACAGACGACAAAATTGACAAAAAAACAGAAAACAAGGAGAACAAAGCCAAAGAAAAATCAGATGAAAAACAAATAAAAAACTCTGTGAATGATACAGAGGAAAATAAAAACATAAAAGTAGCGCCAGCGGTTAGCGACAAAAACGTCGAAGAAAAAATATTCAAAAATGCAAGAAAGAAAGAAGGCAGTTCTGGTGATGATGATAGTAGTGAGACATCTGACAGCTCTGACGGTGATGATGATGAGGATGATGATTCAAGCAGCGACTCAACGAAAAAATCAGGTGACAACGACGATGACGATGACAAAAAATCTGTAGATAAAACGAAAGATAAAACTTTTCAAAAGAACTCAAACGTTGAAAATAAAAAGGATAAAGACCCTGTCAGCAAACTAACTTCAGATATCAAAAATAAAATAATCCAGAAAGAAGATGACAATTCAACTAGTAAAATAAATGAAAGTAAATCAGAAACTGCAAAAAACAATCAGAAAAAAAAAAAAATGTCGAATTTACGTGGGAACAAAATTGGTCAAGAGAATGTAAAAAATGTAGAAAAAACTGAGAACTCTGATGAAAGTAGTAAAGAATGCAAAAGTTCTGACTCCTCCTCGTCGTCGTCGTCGTCGGATTCAAGCGACGATTCATCAGAATCATCGGAAGAAGAAAGTGATGAACATTCGAACGAAAAACTAATTGAAAAAAATTGCCCGAAGATGGAAAACAAAAAAGGGGAAAACGCGTCTGCTAAGCTTATCTCTGATAGCATATCGGCCAAAAATAATGATGAAAAGGTTAGATCGAAAGAAGATAAAGTTGTAGAAATTAAACAAGATAAAAATCAAACCAAAAAATTAAATGAAAAGGAAATCATTAACCTTAAAAGCACCGCAAACAAAGCTAAAGATGTTGAGAAAAAAGAAACAAAACAAAGTAGCTCTGATGAAAGTAGTGAGACGTCTGATAGTTCAGATGATTCAAGTGATTATTCGTCCGAAGAGAGTGATTCCGATAAAAAATCTGAAGACAAAACTTTAGCCGGAAAATCAAAAACAGATTGCAAGAAAGAAACTATTGCTGCTACTACTACTACTGCTGCTGCTGCTGCTTCTACTGCTGCTGCTGATAAACACAAATTAAAAAGTGAAGACAAAAAAGAGCAGTTGGAGAAAAACAATCTTGAACTGACGAAGGATAAAAAAGAAATTTCTAGAAAAACAGAAATCGCGCCGAAACCGACGTTAAGGATTGACGATGGAAAAATCATCCCGAGAGCCGACCGACCATCTTACACGAGAGCTTCAGCAGCTAACAAAACAATGCTCGACAAAGAAAAAACAAACGATAAAATAAAGGAGGATAAAATTGAAGAAATGGATAGAAACACAATTTCGAAGAACAAATATGAGAAACCTTCAATCTCAAAACAAACAAACGAACTTCAAAAAGAGAAAACAATTCTACAAGCAAAATTTTCTCCACATCCACCACCTCCACCACCGCCTCCACCACCGCCGCCACAACCGCCGACGTTATTCTCAATCACGAAAAATTCAAAAACAACAGGACAACCTAACTCTGCTTCAGGTTCAAAAAGTCAGCTGGAAGATGAAATCAAACAGAAAATGAGTTCTCTCAACAAAAAGCCAACTTCACTAAATAGAAAAGACCCGAGAACAACGCTAGCTTCAACTCTACCATCCACAAAAGCAAAACCTTCCCCTCAAACCCCACAGCCATTTGACCCATCCAGGCTCCCCCAAATTTCCACCAAAGATCTCATCAGCGGTCGCATTGCTCTCAAATCTAAATACGATAAATCGATACCAAAAACCGCGAAGTTATCTACTCTATCAACTGCAAAACCAGGAACAACAAAAAATATTTCTTCTCTTTTGAAGAATGAAACCAAGGGCGATGCTGCTGAAAGTTGCACAAAATCTCAGCCTACCTCCGCTGCTCTTAGAGGCATTTCCAGTTTGAAGAGAGTATGAGAACATTTTTTAAACTTTTTGAAAAAAATTAGCAAAAATCATTTATTTATTACTCGACCAATTTATTTTTAAAACAAAGTTTTTTCTTAAAATTTTACATTCCTAGTTTTTACTGACACGAAACTTAAGGTTAGTAATAAAATAACTACTAAATAAAATATATTTTCTTTTTTACACAAATTAACAAGAATAATTAAAAATAGATTAAAAATAATTGAAGGAGCAGATTTCGAGGCCACAGAATATATAACAAGACTCATTTAAACAAAATCACACAACACAACCAAATTTTAATTAATCACATTTTATTTCATAATAAACATGCGACATTTTTTCTAGATTGTCAAATCCATCAATTTATGTTTATATGCTGTTATAATTGAATAGATGGATAGTGAGAGGTCACATTTTGCAATTAAACATCTCAATACAAACTAACTAAGCAATTGTTTCCTGTCAAATTAACGAAATTACTTTATTTTATACAAGAATCATAATTTTGGAAGATGAATGTATGGCCATTATCGCACACGTCAAATGAATTAGTTGCAGTATATTATAAATATTACTTCTGTTTATAATTCCGTCCATTCATCCATCTATTCATTTGTCTATCCATCCATCTATCTATCCATTGAACCATCCGGCAATTCTACAGTCCATCAATTCATCCGTGTACAATCACATCCCTACTCATCATCACTCGCATCTCCTCCAGGATCTCGACTAGAAATCTGATCCGGAATAGCCACGTTAAACGGGCGATTAGGGATCCTCGCCCGCTGAGTCGGTCGACTTCTAACGCCGTAGCTACTACCACCGCTGTATGTTAAGCGCCTGTTTCTTCTACTGCCACTACTACCACTACTACTAGCATTATTATTGCTATCACTCTCGCGGTTATCACTACCGAATGTAGAATCATTGAGACCATTGCTCGGGTCAATGACAGGGTCGCTATCACCCTCGTTCTCGGGACTGCCGCCACCATCGCCACTGCTGCAGGCACGATCTTGACACTCAACGTCGCAACGGCTGCCGTCGCTAGGAACGACGTGAAAGTTCACGACGTAATCGGCATTCGTCCTTTGAACGCTGATGGCGAAGGGTTCAAATGGATGAAATGTGAAGGCCACCAGACGTCTGGATAAGTTGGGGGGAGGCGGGGAGATGGATGAAAGAGATCCGGCTAATCCCGTGTAGATCTTGAACTTGAGGAGTCCCGAGTCTCTGGCGTTGAACCTGTTCGTGAGGATGAATGTGATGATGATGATGATGAAGATAATGATGAAAATGAAGATGATGGAGATGATGGGGGTATGACGGTAACACATAACCCTAACTCCAGAACCACTAACTTTATAGCGTGATCTCCTGAGTTCTTGGGCCTCTCTAGGGAGTTGAGCCACTTGTCGTCGTAGCTGAAGAGGGCGGTGTCCAGGTAAGGACTGGAGCTGTAGGATTGGGAGCTTATTGGCAGTTGGGAGAGGACCCGTTTGACGAAGAACAGTCTGTTGCCTTGTCTGGTGAGGAGGAAGATGATGGTGAAGATGATGGTGAAGATGATGATGAAGATGATGCTGATAAGAACGAACTTTTTATTGATTCGCCTTGACAAAATAAATTGAGCGAAAGTGATCAAAATGATATAACGATGATAACAATGAAAATGAGTAACTAACGCTAAAAACCATAAAAAAAAGCAAGCAAAACGACCACAAACTTGATGTTAGATATTCCCTGCCTAAATCTGTAATTCAAATTTTTAGTGTATATGTTAGTGGGATTCCCCGAGTTTCTAAATAAATCCGTATAATCCTCGGAGAGAGTGAGAAGAGACTGAGAGGAACTATCATAAAAAGAGAGAAACCGGGAAAGGTGAGTGTCAAAGACGGCAAAGTAGAAGATCTGCTGATTGTAATCCTGGTTTTTCATGGTGATGATGTCTTCTGTTGAGTATCTGGAGTCGCGATGATGATGGTGATGACGATGACGATGATGATGATGACGATGATGGTGGTGGTGGTGGTTGTGGCGACGATTGATGTAATGACGATTATAACTACGCCTACTAATGGTGATGAAAAAGACGAAACGATGAAAAATTAAAAAAAAATCAAGATGATGGAGAAGATGGTACAAGAGGGTGCCAACTTGATCAGCAAGTGACTCTCGTCTAGCAGCTGCATCTTCCACATCCTCAACTTGCAGTAAAACTCAAAATTCCTATGAAACTCGAGTATCGCAGACTGACTACCGACACGCGTAGACTCAATCAACGCCGAATGATACAAATAAACGAGCAGACGATGTTTCAGACTGCATAATAATTTATCGGAACAACCCCAGACAGGCTGTCTAGAAAGAACTGACGACGAAGATGCTGCTGCTGATGTTGATAACAGTGGCGATGAAACTGATGATAATGATAATGATGACGGGTGGGTCCGGATATTAGTGAAGCTGTAGTTGGTGGTGGCGAAGTTGTTGGTGGACGGCGTTAATAGTGGCGGGTTTCGTCGGGGTCTGTTGAGTTGGGAGGAGGATTCTGAGAAGATGGAGATGGTGAGTTGGTCGTCGTCGAAGCAGAATCTTCCCAACTTCCGCATTTCTAACAATTTTCCTTCCTCCGTTAGCTGTTGGTTTGGTTGATGGGCAGATGACGCAATTCAAACAGGTCATAAAACTTCAGTGATAGTGACTCGTTCGTATTTGTTGCGATGATAATGATTTATTCATTTATTTATTCATTCTTTCGTTCCTTCACTCGCACTTTTACTCACTCATTCATTAATCCATTCATTAATTCATTCATGCATACATATACATACATTCCTACGCTCGTCAACTCATGGATAAATTGGCTAATAAGCAGTTCAATCAATGAGCAGCAAAAAAACATTTCTTAACAATTGAATCAATGAATCACTCAACCAACAAATCAATCAATCACTCAACCAACCAACAAATCAATCAATCACTCAACCAACAAATCAATCAACTAATCAACCAACAAATCAATCAACTAACAAATCAATCAACTAACAAATCAATCAAATAACAAATCAATCAATCAACCAACAAATCAATCAATAAATCAACCAACAAATCAATCAATCAATCAACTAGCAAATCAGTCAATCAACAACATCATGTTACCAACCTGAAATATATATATGGTCTGATGTTGTACAGAGAGAACCGCCAATATCCTGTTATACAGTGACACACCTTGATTGTGAGACAGGTAGATTTTGTCACATCTGATTGGTTGGGAAGTTCATCCAATGAGAAATCAAATAAAATACAACAAACCAATCAAATCAATCCTGACTAACAAATCAGTGCATGGTTTATCTCAACCAACTGATAAAAGCTTGTATAAACATCAAACTTACCATCAAACACAACCAACCAAACAATCAAACCTCACATAAACAACTAATTAACCAATCAAACCTCACATACAAACAACTAGCTAACCAATCAAACCTCACATACAAACAACTAGCTAACCAATCAAACCTCACATACAAACAACAAACTAACCAATCGCATACAAACAAATGACTAACCAATCAAACCTCACATTCAAACAGCAAACTAACCAATCAAACCTCACATACAAACAACAAACTAACCAATCCAACCTCACATACTAACAACTAACTGACGAGTCAGATCTCACATACAAACAACCTAAACTGCCTGACCGAACAATCACACCGAACCAACTTGAATCTCTTAGTATCACACAGCATGCCGCTCTCAATCTGAACAACGTGTATGGAGCAGTCCTCGAGGGATATGTTGACGTTGGGATGGAGGGACTCGTTGTTCTGGTACATATCTCTGTATACCGGGTAGGGCTCTTCAGGGAGGGTCACCGTCGACCCGACTATCACATATCTACCAAGGTGATTGGGAGGGTAATGATGATGAAAATTAATAATAATAATAAGAAGAAAATGAAGAAAAAGACGAAGAAGAAAAAGAAGACGAAGAAGAAGAAAAAGAACAATGGCAATGATAGTAATGATAATAATACTATTGATGACGACGATGACAAAAGACAGTGATTCAGAAATGCTTCTTAGAGAACTTAACTTTCAATTGACAGGCAACTGCATGCGCATAAGCAGACATATATAAAACCACAAACCATACACACACACACACACACACACACACACACACACACACACACACACACGTATGTAGGTATGATAGAGATCTCTCTTGCAGTTGAACCCAAGCTCTGTGGCACAGACTTAGGCACTCTTCCACACTCTTCCAATGAAGAAGTGGCTTTATTATTTAGCAGTTTTAGTAAGAAAAATTTTTTGTTGAATAATTAATAATTGAAATTTAATTGGAAGGTAAGTTTGCACTGACCTGGAGTCATCTGTAAATAGACTGCACTCCCTATTTAAACCTTCGTTATCTGTTGACACGTTAACTGTATGTTTCAGTGTGAAGAAAGTCGAGAATAGATTGGCTCTTACGTCTGTCAATCAAATTTGGGGACTAATTATTTTTTTAATTTTATTAATTATTAATAAAAATAATAACACTTTGATGGATTATTATTTAAAAAATTTAGTTTAGCATGTTGTGCCATGATAGAATAATAATGAAAAATACACAAATAATGCTTTATTCAACAATAAAAAAAATGATAAATCCAAAAATTTGGGAAAAACTTTTTCTACATTTTCAGTTAAATTGAAATCATAAAATTGTAAAAATAAGACTTAATTACTATGAATCGTTTCATTTGATTCTAAAGTAAATGGCAGAAGGTCGCCTGTGACATTTTTCAATAAATTCCCAGCAGCCTGTGAGCCTCTAAACTCATAAATCTCCAATGACGTCTGATCTGAAGAGAAAGCAATAAAATATTTGCCATCGGGGGTGAATTTTCTTAAAAAACATGGCGGTTTTTCCACGCCTACAACTGTTAGCCCGGGGACAATATTAGTGTAGAAACAGTTTGAGGAATTTCCATATCCAATCCCTCTTCTTAATGTGTTTGTCTCTCTCATCATTAAACGACAGACAATATTCTGAGGTGGAATTTTTCTAATCTATAATTAGAAATATTAGAAAAGTTTTACAAATAATATCCATGTGATGCAAGTATTTCTTGAATGACAAATCTGACAACAGGTTATTAAATAAAGCTTGTTATATCATAAATATAGCGGTTATAGATATATATATAATTAAATTATTAAATATTATAGCCTAATAGAAAAATTTATGAAAATTACCGGAATGGACTTGTCAATCAACTGGCGCAAAACTGATCTATTGGTGATGGTGTCAGTCGGTTGCAGGACAATTTTGGGTTTCACTTTCATTTTTTATTTTTATGCTATCACTATTTTTTAATCACTAACTTACTTATCTTACCAACCAACAACACCTACTAACACTAACTAGAACGCTCCCTAAGCTAAATGAGGAAAGTTTCTCTCTAACTAATAAATATTAACTAAAGTTTAGTTATTATTTATTAGTTGGAGAGAAAACTTTTCTTAATTAGTTTTTATTTAGTTATTTACTAGTAGTTATTACATAAAAATAAACAAAATTAATTTAAAAATCGAACGCAAAATGACCTTTTTGTTATAACATAAACATACAATCGTAATAAGAACACATAGCTAACTTTTGCTTATCTTATCATTAACTAGCTTAACTTGCCACACGGCCAACAACCGTCTATTTGGAATTAGGAGATTTAAAAGTTAAAAAACTTTCTTAATATTTTACTTTTAATCAATTTACCGAGGAATGCTCAAAACACCGAAACACTTGTAAAATAATTTGAATATTGAAATTGCTTTAAAATTTTAGTTAAATAGTTAAAAAAATTTTGATAACGTAATTTTTTTTAATTAAATTAATTTATAATATTTAAAAAGTTAAATTAAATCGACTTAAATGTAAAATTTGTATACACCAAAATACTTGTATGAATAAGAAGTTTATCGCTACTAAAAGTTAACTTACACTAAATAAATAATGATACTTTTTGGTAATTTTTTAAAAATTGTTAATAAATGTCGACCGATCGCTTTTTTAAATAATAAAGTAATTTATTTTCCTATCAAAATTTGTTTTTTAATAGATAAGCTAAAGTTTAAGTGAATTAATTACTTTAATTAAACGTATCTTTCCTATATTTTATTGCAGCCTCACCAAATCCATCATAAACATAAAGAAACTCTCAGATCTGTTTCTTTTTCGTGTCGTCTGTCCCACAGTAAAATCAATAATAACATTAACATTGTTTTAATAGTGGGTCCAAGTTATCCACTTTTAAACAGTTTCCGGCATAGTCTACTTGTTGGACAGTTTAGGAAATGTTCTACAAGAGATTCCAGTGAAACAGGGGGGACAGCATGCAAGTTAGTTTTGATTTGATTGACATTGAGTAGTTGGTTAATTGTTTTATTTTATTGAACACTGATTGATTGATTGGTTATTGAAGACTCTATATAATTTCAATTTAATTTAAATTTTGACCTGCTACTGTTTAGTCAGATTCTCTTCTAGGTTTTACTTTTTTCATAAGAATAATATAATTGTTCTTTAATATTAATATATATTTTTAATAAAAACAACCTCATAACTCATAACATTATGACATTATCACTCATGACATTTCCTGTCATTTTACAGCAAAGATCTGACAGACCTAGAATATGAAAAGTTATCAGACAAAACATTAGATCACTTGAGTGAAGTTTTTGAGAACATTTTTGATTCTGGGGACTTCTCAGACATCGATAATGACATTACATATAGTGTAATTTAATTTTGCTTGTCTTTCTTCATTTTTTAACCTTCCATTTTTTTTACTCAATCTCTATTTCCAATAAAATTTTAAAAACAATTTTTCTTTCTCTTTAAAGAATGGTGTCCTGACAGTGAATCTTGGGCCTAAATTAGGCACCTATGTTATCAATAAGCAGACGCCTAACAAACAAATATGGCTGTCATCCCCAGTTAGGTAATAAAATATTTTATAAAGTTGGGCTATTAATTATGTATAATGAATCTTATGCCATTCTGTTGATTATTTTTTTAGATAAATCATTTTATCCATTAAGCCATATAGCTTTTTAAATTTAATTTTGTGTCAATTAACTAATTAATTAATTAATAATAATAATTATTATTATTATTATTATTTGTTTTTGAATTTTTTTATTAGATATAATCTGGGTTTTTTCATTTCTTCATTCCTTAGTAACCTTTGAATCTAAACTTGAGAGGTCCTGCTTGATTATATCATTCAAGAAAGCCAAAATAATATATAACAATAGGAATAAAAATAGGAATAATATTGATAAAATTGAAAAAAAAAATCATGAATATATGTTACCAGCGGTCCCAAGAGATATGATTACATGAATGGTACGTGGTTATACAAATATGACAGGATGTCTCTGAATCAACTTCTCCATCAGGAATTTTCAAAAATGTTTAAAAAGGATTTTAAACAATTTTTCTTTGATTTGAATGATAATTAGTTTGATTATGTGTAAGTAAAAGATTTTCTAGAAAAAATTTTTTTCATGGATAAATTAAAAGATTTGTGATTCAAAATTTTTCATCCGTGTTCGTTGAGTTACAATTTCGAAGCGTTCACTATGCTACATTGGAGTAAAATAAAATCAGAGAGGCCGAAGTATGGCACCTGAACTCTGAACTCATAGCTGATTTGTGGATCTTGACATGAGTGATGTCGAAATAGAGCAATGCTTCGTTTCCAAAATAGTAAATCACGGAATTAAAACATTAAAATTGAACCCAACTTCAAAAAGTTTGCCGATTCAAATAAACAGCCGATATAGTAGAAGCAGTTTCAGTCGCAGTAGTTGCAGCAGTAGTTGTAGTAGTTGCTGTTGTTAGTATCATAGTAGTAGGTACAAGTAGTAGTAGTATAAACTCTTACGAAATGCAAGGCAGATGTAGATACTAGATAGATACAATGGATTGGTCGACTTGAAGACAGGAGCTGATGGCTGGAATAGTTAAATTAAATTAGTTAAATGATTGATTGTTTTTTTCAGTTGATTTGATTAAGCGGTTGATTGATTCATTTGTTGATTGACTGGTTAATTGTTAGTACCTACAGTATCTTATTGAACAAAATAGTATCATAAAATGAATAAAGATACTTTTTCAAAAATTTTAAAAATTCTCATTTTGATTTTATGATGATTGTGATTGACTTATTTAAAAAACATCAAATAAAACTTATAAAATAGGGTGGGGAAATGACGTCATGTTAACATTATTTATTTAACTGCCTGTTAGAGAATTAGCCGGTATAAAGGTTATATTCAATTCCTATCTAACAAATTTGACCGAATATCGTACGCAGGCAAAACTAAATAAAGAAATAGATAAATATATGTAGTTATAATACATTTATAATGTTATATTTACACATTCAAATTGTGTTATAGTGCAGTGTCAAATTATTTTGAATTCTCTTAGAAAAATTTAAACTTTTTACTATATGCTAGTTACTTTTATCAACAATTTAAAAAAAAATTTGAATTTTATTTCATCGCGATATCGATGATAATGATTGTGACCTGACTGATTAAAAAGCATCAAAGAAATTTTTAAAATAGGATGGAGAATTTATGGAATCGTTGTAGGAAATGACGTCATGCTAGCGGTATTCTATATTTAGTGAAATGTATCCCTTCAACTTCCACACCAAGAGAACAAGCTTTTTCAAAATCTGGAAAACTGATAAGCATAAAAAGAAATAGATTGCGAGATAGTTCAATAGAAGGGTGTGCGTGTTTAAATGTTTGGATGTAATTACTTGGCAAATAAAATTTGTGTATATGTTCTATTTTAATTAAATTTTGAATAAAATATTTTTTAAACTAGCTCGCGTTATTTCTTTGATATCGATATTGGGGATATTCGTATATAAAGCGAGCAAAATTTAAATATAAAAGCGCTTTTAAATCTACGCATATTGGCTCAGCTTGGCTTGGCTTGGCTCGGCTTGGAATTGGATGTTAAGCAAGGTGTGGTCTCAAACTATTTTGAATTCTCCCAGAAAAATTAGAACTGCGTGCGTACATGTGTAGAACTGATTACTGTTGCTTTTATAATGAATTTATATTATATATATATTATTCACCATCCATCATATACTTCTGACTTCATCCGGACTATCTGCCTCCCTATGGTGTGACTCCAACACCTTATCTAACAAGTGTAACTTTCATGTCGCGTTATTAATTTCAAGCTGATTTCACAATTTTAAATCGCATCGTAAATTTTTATATCCCTCAGTTATTTGCTCAGTAACGCATAAATTTTATTTTTGGGCTATGAATTGATTGGTTTCCAATAAATAAATTAATGAATGAATGAATGAATGAATTATTTAATTAATTAATTTAATTAGTAATTAGCTAACAAAATGGTGAATATTACACAGAATGTTTTTGTAGATTGTAACCATCTACTACTGTTGCTGCCAATTCCACTAATACTGCTACTGCTACTGCTACAACTGCTACAATTTCTTCTACTGCTACAAATAATAATAATACCTAACAACGGTAATAATAAAAATATTTTCTATGGATAAACATTTAAACCAGATAAATATAAATAAATATTTCCTCCTCGTATTTCATTTTTATTATAACTCTTTAAAAATTATAACAGTTCTTATCATTCATAAATAAAAATTAATAATATTAATCGTTATTATTAATATTTTGATTGTTATTATTTATTTGAAATGACGACTTTATGACGTGTTTGCCGATCTGTAGAAAGTGAAACTGAATAGACTGGAAAACTATGACTGCCTTGAAATTCATGAGTGTTTTTCATTATTAACATTTTAACATTGATTCATTCGTTCTCTCTATCTCTCTTTTTCTCTCTCTTTTTCCTCACCTCTCTCTTTTCTTTTCCCCCCTCTCTCTATCTCTCTCTTTTTCTTCGCACTGATTAACATTTAAATATTTAGTTATAGTCAATTAGTACTCCTGTTACTACAACTACAAGTGTTACAACAAATTTTACTACTAATATTACTTTACAATGCTAATATTATATTTACAATGCTACCACTACTACTACTGCTGCTGCTGCTGCTACCTACTACTACTACCACTACTACTAATATTAATAATATAATTATTAATAATATTACTAGATAGTAATATTTATAATAATAATAGTATTATAATTGTTATTATTTATTAATTTATAAGAAAAAACTTTTCGTCAATTTAGTGAGAATAATACTAAGAAGACTTACCAAGAAATTTGTTATAATGCTTCCAGCTCCGAAACGATCTGCCAAACGCATCTTCTTTTTTTTTATCGTCATAATCATGGCTTCCAGTTTATACCTTTGGAAAGAACCAACGGTTAGGTCCCTCTCTCTCCCTCTCTCATTTCTTCATTCATTTCTCTCTCTCTTTCTTTCTCTCTCTCTCTCTCTTTCTCTCTATCTATATCTCTCTTGCCTTTTTTCTAAACTGTTCTTATCTTTGAGTATATAATAATAATTGAGAGCGTTTGTTATAAATAGATTTTTATGCATTTTAATTTATTTCCTTCCCTACTTTCTCTCTTTCTTCCTTTTTCACTCTTTCGCCTTCTCTCTTTTTCTTATACTTGCCCCAACGACTAAAATCATTTATATCGTTTTAAAGTTCCACTCCGATGTTTCTCCCATTTCGTCCTTGAACTTGAAATCGCCGACAAATTATTCAAGATGGCTGATATTGAAAAGTTCAAAGGTGAAAACCTGCCATCTCTACGCTGACGTCATGAAGAGTTGGGCGATTTTGTGTGTGACAGACGATAAATTTGAAGAATTGTATGCCTTAATTTTTTTAATAATTTTCTTTTTTATATTCCCCATGGGTATCAAATACAAGCAAACACACAGTGCATGAAAATTTACGCCAATCAAAGCTTTACACACATTGCACGTGACAGGCAAAGGCAGGGATCACTCTGTATTCGAATCCAGTCACAGCAAAAGCGGTGACAGGCATCTTAACCATAACACCACTGCGCCACCAAATTCTGAAAAGTTTTAACAAATCAAAATAAGCTTTAAATTATTACTAATAAATATTTTTCAAGGTACTCTAATGAGATATTTCTAAACGAAAACACGGCAATAAACTTAAAGAAGCAACTATTTCACGACACATTGTTAATAGATGCACTTTATTTTTATACAGCCATCAAGGTAAGTGAAGAATTTGTTTGACCTTAAACGATCAAAATAAAAGGTGTAGCCAAAAGGGGACTTTGGGGTTTTCCACAAAATATTTATAACTACGCCATTGATCTGAATAAACATACGTCGTTATAGCACAACTTTTCATTAGTAAAACTAAGTTGTTGCAACACTATCAAACCAATTTAAAGTTTAAAAACTGTTCAGAACTAATCGACAGACAAATAGAAATTTAAAAATCCCACTAATATAAATGAAATGATTGATTACGTTTCGTAGAAATGATCATGCTTTTTAATTTGCTAGAGTGGTGCGAAAATAATTTACCTGCTGAACGCCGATAAAATATCGAACTACGGAGAACAACTGAATGCCACAAAAAAATTCAACATCGATGTTTCAACTTTCTTGTTGTACCAGCAGAATAATGCAACGACCACAGAACAGCAGAAGTCATTCAACAGTTCCATATATTACGGATGCTACTCCATCCAGGAATATGACGACACGAACGACAGTCACAGATCTCCATTGCACTGCTACGATGGAATCCTACCGGCCCTCTACACTCCTGCTTATTTCGAAAGTTCTAGAATGAAGAGTGAGAGATGTGACAGAAAAATGCCCGACATATCTCTTCCTGAGAATAATTTTGTTTATTTTAATTTTGAAAACGTCATCCTAACTTCCTGCTCCTTTTGGCTCTTACCTGCCTTAAGACCACTTTTAAAAAACAGTGTAGAAAACGGTGACGTCATTTATAAGTGTTTCATTCAGTGGGCTCTTTGGCAGTTCGACTGTCACATTTCAGTGTTCTGGCAAAATTATTTGACGTGTGATACCGCAGACTGCAACTTCAGATTGAAATGCAAGAAAGTCTTTGAAAAGTTTCACACGTGCAAGAATGAATGGCCACTCGCTGTCCTGTATTGCGTCTTGAGCATCTTCCGACGCTTGTTCTCCAGTGCATCTTACGCCAGCCTAGATAACTGGATGAATGTTTTGAGAGAAATTAATTTCAATATAACTCAGTTTATCGGAAGAAACAAGTGTGTCAAACATTCACCAATGATTTTGCACCCCGTTCGTCAAAAATTTGACAGCCAACAAAAACTCACCTATGAAATTGCAAATCTGAAGGTAAGTGAAGAATATTATGAAAAAATTTGTTCTACATACAAATCTCCGATGCAAGATAAAAATAAAAGTTTCTCTAGAGAACCTTCAAACCAGAACGCGGACATTTTATTACTAATAACATTCAACAGCCCTCACTACGAAACAATTCCATTATTAGAACTTGTACATAGAGCTACATACCCTTACATAATATACTGTGGACACGAACAACTCACATACAGAAACAACAGCTCAAATTACTACGTCAGTTTCGTTACGTACGATCAATATGAATCTCAAAATCAGGGCACGTTGAACTATCAATGCGCCGTGAAAATCATGAAACTTCGTATGAACTTTGAAGGAATTCTTGCGATAGGTGACGACATCTTCTTGAATATTAATACCTCTAACGCGTCGACCAGTAAAAATTGGGTCGTTGCGTCGGGTGATCAAATTGCCGATTTAAACACAATGAAAGGCTGCTCATCGAAAGCATTTTGTACAATACCATTGACCTGGACTTGGTGGAAAGAGTACAGACCAGAAATATTCAGAGTTTATGACAAGTGGGGAGAACTCATGAAAAATGATTTGGATTTAGAGATTGCCAGAAACCGACTGATGAACATAACAGGCGGTGAAGTGCGAGCGATTGGAAACACGGCTGACATTTATTTCGTATCGAAGAATTTCTACAGTGTCATACTCAAACTTTTGGATATTTTCATTGGCGAGAAAGTGTTCCTGGAAATTGCGATTCCTACAGCTCTAAGGAGCATAAGTGGATATGACGACATACTCACTCTTGAAGGACACATGGAATGGGGCAATAACAGGAACATGCCATGGAACTTTTTAAACAATGAATCGATGCGTGGAAAACATTTCGCACACCCAGTAAAACTTTCATACGTTCTGAAAAACGACACAAACAATTTAAATATGTACTGCAACTGCATCGTCGGTCCAACTGAAAATCAGGGATGCAGGCCTAATCCATTAGTATCCAAGAAGTTACTAAGTACTTTCCACTGAAAACGTAAAAACGATTGCCCAAAAGTTTCACTCATTTTTTTTCACAGTATCCTTTCAAAATCCAGTGTTGGCTGAGATTTGAACTTCAATGATATAAAAACATTATTTAATCCATCTATTATTTTAGATTTTAATCTATAACCAATTCTGTAAATAAATCAGTATTTTCGTGATTTTGATAATTTTAAAAAGTGACAATGATAGTAAATAAATTGATATTAACAACAACAGTAATAACAAGAATGTTAGTAAGAATGCAATAACATACTTATTCAACGAGTTCGTTTTTTTAGCATCTGCTTTGGCATCGGCAATTCTAACGATGGCGAGTATCGAACCCGACATCACCGATACTTACCAGTGGCGAGTTCTCTACAAACTCGAGATGAAGCCAGATTCTCCTCTAAATGACATGTCTTGATGGAATAGTACAAAAATTAACGACATGAAAAAAGATTTTACCCAACAATGATGAAACTTTTCCCATTTCCAGGTCCTACAGCAATGCAAAGCACTCACGTTTTTATCACGGCGTTCTTAAAAAATGACTTGAGAGTGTATCCACAAATTTGTCGTGTGTGTGTCATCAGTTGGCGTTGTTGAAAGACGTTACCTCGAATGAAAATGTTTGACATGCAATAGACACGGTTCTCGAATGCAAATTAGATTTTCAAAATTTCCAATGCGCGAATTCCTTCGAATTTGACTCTTTTCGATAAGATATTGAAAAATGAAACTAGTAGTTCAATTTTGATTTTAAAAATTTTCAAATTTAGAATTTCCTATTAAAATTCTAAAAGCGTTTTCGCGGAACAAATACAAATATAATTTAGTTCAGCTCGTTAACTGAAAATAAAATTTTAATATACAATAATCACCGTTCAGATCTTTAAAAACACCTAACATCAATATTATTTATGGCTGAAGCAACGAATAAGGTCCAAACCGAATTATTGTAATTGATAGCATTAAATCACACATCAAACGGTACATTATCGAGCGTGTATTACATCCTTGTTACATTAACACACCAATTACTGATTACATTAGCACATCCATGTTTACACAACATTCAAATACATGCTCATATATAGCAGACCCTTACTGAATAGATTGCCAGGTAAGACAAGATATATTTGTCTAGATCGATCACAACATGACAAAATTATTTCCGCTCAACACCCACCATAAAATATATTTATTATTAATAAACATTTATACAGAAATCGCTCGAAAATAAAATGTGAAATTAATCGGGTAGACGATTAAATAATTAATTAAATAAGTAAATGAACAAGCCAGACGTCCTGGCGACTTTTAAAACTTAAAAATTTCAACTTAAAGCCAGCATCAGTGTGTTCTGTTGGTCTGGAGTGAGTTCTGAAAGGCAAGCATGAAAGATCTGATCATTCCCCTGGAAAATTTTTCAAAATCAACCTTAACATTAAAATTATGACAGTTAATGATATTCAGTTGTTGTCGCTAATAGAAACAATATTAAAAAAAGAAACAAGGAACAATCTTAAACTAAAAAACACACACATAAACACACGAAAAAATAACTAAAAATGAACTTAGACAACGACGAAGAAACATTACCTTCAACTGTCGAATGATGTTAATAATTCTCAGGCCTGTCTCCGAGCGAATGGAGACAGCATTGAGATGAAATGACTGGACGAAGATTTTCAATAAGTTTGGTAGGTTGCAGTTGTTGGCGCCTAGGACTACGGGGTTGTTGCTGTTTGTTGCCGTTCGTTTGTGTCAATCAACATTAATTAATTAATTAACTAATCAATTAATTAACTTATTAATTAACTAACTGATTAATTAATTACACACACACACATATATATATATATATATATATATATATATATATATATATATATATATATATATATATATATATATATATATATATATATATATATATATATATATATATATATATATATATATATATATATATATATATATATATATATATAT